GCCCTGGTTGGCTGAGCTTGTTGTACATCTTGCATAAGGTCCCGGTCAACGGTGCGTAAGGACCATGTAGACACACATACAGTACAGTAGTGCCGGCTTGGTGGGCAGCATGAGATCTACACCACAGACTCGCTAGGTTTGCATATCTTGAGGCTGTTCGTTTCCAGACCAGTTTTTATCAGATATCTGGTCTCCAATCTCCATGATCACGATTATCGTGGTCGGGAAGTCGCGCCGCTCCGAGGAAGAACCATGAAAAAAACTTGTCTTCCACTAGCAACAAGACATCCCCGCCCACAAACGTACGACCCTGGTCAAAATGGTGTCAAACCCAGCTTCCACCGGTCAGGCCCTTTATCGGTGCCTCGGTATGATGCGGTAGGTAAGGTACTTTTGGGTTGTGAACAATGGATTGTTGATACTTTTACGGATAGAGTTTGCCAGCTGGACTAATACTCCGAGCAAGACCCTTGACCTTTTGTGTTGACTTTCGAGATATTCGCTGGGCACAAATAATGGGTCAAAGGCAATTGAACAGAAGTGCCACTGCCTCTGTGCCGGGCTCGTGATAGTCATATGTAGGAAATAGTTGACGTGGGAGGCTGCTAGGCAGTGGTATCGCATTCAAAGCCTTGATAACAAGTGCAAAGATTTGGAGCACCGAAAGCAAATATTGGCGTTGTGACTGAGAGATAGGCAGATAGGGCAGGATGGACAAACTACAGTACTACTTAAAAAAGTCACATGTCTTGGGGAAACGGGTGGCTGAGCCGGCGCCCAAGTTTTGGTGATTGAGTGGAAATTATGAGAAAGACCATCGAAACTTTGTATCAAGCTGAAGCAGCCGGTCAATTGTCAAAGGCTCGACAATGGCTGGAAATTCTGGGGCCCTGAGAGAGCTTGTACTTTGTCTGAGCGTCAGTGAATCTCGCGGGAGGCTACCTTGCCGCCGAGTCCTTCTCAAGGGAGAGAGGTAACAGTAGCAGAGATAAAACTGATCTCGAGTGAGACATGATACCTGCCAAGTGGCTCGTCGAGACCGCCACAGCGTAACTCACAGACCCGAGGACATTCGGCCATGGATCAGGAACCGCAGAGAAGCTCTTATGAATGAGAGACCCCGCTGGTAATCCGGCACTGTGCTAGACTGGGCCCTCAGGCCCTTCATCATTTTCTTGTGTGTATCCGTAAGGCATCCATCATTGGTGGGCCATGAAGCTCAGCCACGAGGACGATGACTTGATGGACACGATTTCCCATTCAGCTACAGAGTACCTACTCCGTATGCAGAACAGAGAGGACAGGAAACTCCACATATGCCCTATATCAACGAATCAAACCCAATAAACACCAGCACCGGATGCTTGTTCCAACATCCTAGTCAAAGAGGGGAAATCCGGGCAGCTCGGAGAGCGGCGGCGACCCATGCGATTATGGCCCATGAGCCTTGCTGAGATTGCCGGGCCATTGATGGACTTCCGCACGAACGGCCGTGGGCTCGAGCTTGAGCAACTGTATGTATGTAGAGAGACCGGGATGCTGATGTGGGCATATGTATTTCGCTCAGACAGGGTTGGGAGGTTGGCAGAACAAGAGCATTGACAACTGTAGACCAATGATCTTGGGCCGGAACCAAAGCCATTGAGCCTCTTACAGAAACTTGAACTTGGCGAGTCTCTGTTCAAGACCTCTCTCCCTTCATCATCGGTGGCTGTTCCTGCGCAAGCGAAGTCCGTAGTCAGAACTTAGTGAGAGTACACAGCCTTTCCGCTCCTAGTCTGCATGATGCCCCCATTGTTGAATTCTCGGCACTATGGAAAGGTCTTTGGTCGCGTTTGGTTTCCCAACTTATCTCAATACGAGTTGTTGGTAGTTGCACAGAAATAATGGTGCACAGGCTGTCCCGGCACTTGACGCAATACAGGGAACCCAAAGTAACGGTCCCGTAGTGGTTTGGCGCACCGTTGAGAACTACAATTAAGTAGGTAGTTAACTACCTACAGATCGATCATTCGGGGGTAAGAAAGCAGAAAGATCAGAAGCGCCGAGAATCTGGAAGCGCAAACTCTGATGCCATTATTCTCCCTCTCTTGTAGTTGGTGTTCCAAGCCTCTGATTGGATAAACTTGGTTGAAGAGCTCTGGAAACTCAATCGCAAATATTACAGCCCGTACTTCACATGGGGAGCAAAGTCCTCGGGTAGTTTGCACAGTGCTGTGCCGCAACTAAGAGCTACAAGGAAGGAGAGCGCGAAAGAAGTCAACCAAGAAATGAAAGCCGACGAATGGCGTTAAAGCGACAAGAGCACACAATAACAAAGACAACACGACAGCGCAATACACTACTAGTACATAACACGACACTGACACGACACGACAATAACACAAACCAGATAGACAAATGAGAAAAGCACAGCCCACAACAAACTGACGTGACACAAAGGCGACCTGAACTCTAGCGCAGCCGTGGACGACATCAGATAGACTCACAGCCGTTTTTGGATGCTTTGATAACTATTGTTTATAGCCTGAAGAACCGTTGATGAAACAAGGGCAAGAATGATTCCTAACATCCGCAGGCCTGTCGGAAATATCCAGAGAATGCTTGCATTTGAAGAACCTGGCCCAGTATTACCTCAATTGTGTATGTACACAGTCCAAGCATCTAACCAGGGATTGGTGTGATTGAGTGGGAAAGGGGACGACAACAAGGTCCCGGAGGAGAGAAAAGACCAATCAAAGCGACACTTGTAATGTGATCTACGTAGTCAATCTCACTGTTTATGAACAACTTATGATCGAGGTGACTTGGGTTTTAGATGGATCAACAAGCTGCAGCCAGGTATCTGAGGCGCAACTTCAGAGATGTTCATGACCAAGGCATCACCTAATGGTAAATGTGAGTAGGCTTCCAATGCTATGACTTACTCTCTGCCCGTCTCAAAAGCTGTATCTTGAATCGACGCTGTGTGCGGGCTTTTCCTGTCGCATCAAGCGGGTGCTGAGGTGCACTGTGGGTGCACAGTAACAGCTGGCGCGAGTAAGCGGAGTTTGAGCTGCCAGGGGTTAATGACACCAAGCATCGCTCCCGTCTGTTCCCCCCCCGGATCCTTCATCCTTGCACGCTGTGGCCTGGGTAGCCCTGCCGGCCCCGTGGTCTCCTGTAGCCACTGGGATTCTGGGTGACCGATCACTCTACCGAGGGAGAGACCCCAGTACTAGTAGCCGTCGCGATACCTCAGTCGGTGACTGTACGAACAACCGCTCAGAGAAAACCCATGATCAACTCCCTCCTCCGCCCAACGCACTTTGAGGTGGCCTGGTGCTACGCTGTTCTGGCTACACCCCAATGAATCCCCTCTGCCCCTGTAGCCGCACCCCTCGCACCACCCACCAAAGTTGCTGGGAGCGCTCTCTAGCTTTTAACAACGCCCTACAGAGAGTCCTTCCTCCACCGAGTTTGTGTGCAGGTTGCGAGCTGGATGGTCCCCTGGTTCTGTTGTGCGTTGACAGGAGAGTGCCCAGTGCGCATACGACAAACGTAGGGACCGTCTGTATACTTCTCTGGGCACCTAGACCATGAGATGACGAGGACCGAATACTTGAAGAATAACACGATGCATCTAGGCCATGTCTGGCTGTGTTCTCATTGAAAGACGAGATATCAAAAGCCTTCAATCCTGAGGACAGCGGGTACCCAGGCATTGAATCTCAGCTTGAACCCACCTCAAGCATAACACAGTAGATATCGTACCGTGCGTGGTCAGGCTAAAGATAGTCTAGTCTATTGAATGATCCACGCCAGCACACACCTGGAAAAGTCAAGGGCGATGTCGGATCGTACGGTGAGAAGGGTTTTCAAATTCATTCTTCAGATAATTCATTCTACCTCGAAAGTCAAAAAGACGATGGACTCGTTACCCAGGATCAATTACAATGGCGACTAGCCTTAGAAATTAGGCATTTTATTTTTCTTTATCGCTTTGGACCTTATCAACCGTGACCATTCTGTGCCATGCACACAACCCGTGAAGTTCAAGGTACGAGCAGAGCATGCAAGTGGACCACTGTACCCCAAATAGACTCATATTGGGTGCGTGTGCATACATACTGCATGGTCGTTCTTTTTAGTGCCGCAGGCCGTTGAGCATGATTTCGTCAAATGAACAATACAATTCAGGCCTTTCAAAGCTTTTACATACCTTGTATACCCAAGAAATAGTATTTCCCTGACTTTGGAATATACTTGATCATTCTCCGCCTCCTGTCTGCGGGTTTCTTGACTTCCTTCTGTGGATGATGTTCTTCACCTGCCTCTCGTTTACTCTTGAACCAGACTAACTAAACTAAGGATTAACCCCTCTTTGCCCTTGAATAGGATTGGATCTGTGGTGGATATCTGCCACACCCTTTCGTTCCCTTCTCACCAAGGATGAATTCTGATTCTGTTTCTTATGCCCCACACTCCCTCACACTCCTCACCAAGCCAAAGTGCACTCCCCCATCGCCTGCCTGCCCCCCCGTCCCGACCTGCCTGCCTGAGGGGCGGGAATTGCTCAAGGTCCTGAGGGTACTGAGGGTACCTCTACCACGGCCATTGATCAAGCAAGTTGAGGGTACGTACCTCTCACCTGCCTCCTCTGTTCCTTTCTCTTCATTCTGCCTCTCACCACCAAGATCCTGACCTTCTCGGGATTTTTTCCTTTCCCTTTTCTCTTTCTATTTCTTTTCTCTCTTTCTCTTTTTTTTTCTTTTGCCGGTCTCTTTCCCTTTTGCCGTCCACCTCCTCTTCCTTCGAGTTTGCAGTCATCCTTCCTCGACTGCTTCCTCTTCGCAATTGTGCTGCCATATTAACGTTACGCCAGCCCTACCTCTCTCTATCTGTAGCAGAGAGTGCTCAACCGCCGTATCTCGACCGTTGAGACCAACCGCACCCCATCATCCCCCATTGAAAACAACAACAACACCTCCGCGATGAACCAAGGCCATCCCCAGCCAGACATGTATTATTCACCTCATTATTCGACACCACAGTACGGCTATGGCTATTCTACGAATGGTGCTCCAACTACCGCAGTCTCCACTCCTATGCCCGCGCCCCAGAATGTACTGCCAGTACCTTCAGCGCTCAGCAACCAAGGAGCAATGCAGCAGCCAGGTTACAGTAACAGTAGTAATAATGGCGCATTCGACACAACTGGCCAGCATAACCCCCCCGGTATGAAGCCCAGAGTCACGGCTACCCTGTGGGAAGACGAAGGCAGCCTCTGCTTCCAGGTGGAAGCTAGAGGTATATGTGTAGCACGGAGAGAAGGTCAGAATTGTAACCCCTAAGCACCCTATACACCAGCTGACTTGAAGTACAGATAACCACATGATTAACGGCACGAAACTATTAAATGTCGCTGGCATGACTCGAGGTCGAAGGGACGGCATCTTGAAAAGCGAAAAGGTTCGCCACGTCGTCAAGATTGGTCCCATGCACTTGAAAGGTGTCTGGTATGTATTCCCAGATAGTTGGATCTGTAGACCCATTGCTGGATGTTTGACTGACGATGGTCCAGGATTCCTTACGACCGTGCACTAGACTTTGCGAACAAGGAGAAGATCACAGAGCTCCTGTTCCCCTTGTTTGTCCACAATATTGGAGCACTCCTTTATCATCCGTCGAACTCGAACCGGACCAGTCAGGTCATGGCAGCTGCCGAGCGCCGCAAGCACGAAGGACTCGGTGGTCAGAGACCCCCTGCTCCCAATGCTTTGCCTTCCATTGGACAGCATCACCCAATGATGCCTGGTTTGCCAACCGGAGGCTACGTTCCTCAATCTCTTGCAAGCACTCCCCAGCCTCTCACAAATGGGTCCCAGCCCCCCATGCCAAACGGAGGTGGTATGCTTAAACGAGGGCGAGAAGAAGAAGAAGACCTGCACCGACCAGTCTCTAATGGACATGATCACATGAGTAACATGCACGCAATGTCTAATGGTTACTCTCAACAGCCTCCCCTTGCGAATGTACATCAGCCTCCCCTTGCGAATGTACATCAGCCTCCTATGCAGAATGGAGGAGATATGCTCAAGCGGGGCAGAGAGGAAGATGATGAGGTTCATAGGTCAGCGCATAATGCACACGACACCATGAACAACATGCCTGGTAGCATGCCTGCTCTGTCGAATGCATATGCTCAGCCTTTGCCGAACGTTCATCATCAGCCCCTTGCTAATGGAGACGGAGGTATGCTCAAGCGAGGTCGAGATGAGGATGATGACGTTCACCGATCAAGCCCCAATGGACATGATTCCGCAGGCAACTTCGAAGTAAAGCGGCGTAAAACCATAACATCGAATGACAGCATGGTTTCTCCTGGCGGATTCTACACCCTACACAACGGGTATGGCCAGCCTGGTGTCATGAATGGCATGAGCCCATACAAACGACGAGATGATGAGGCGGAGACGCCACGGCCTGGCCCAAATGTACATGATCACTTGAACAACTTTGAACTGAAGCGACACAAGACCATGGAGACGAGTGTCCCTGCTCCCCAGTATGACGCCATGAATCGCCCTCATTCTAGCATCGGCACCTCTCCCTCATATGCCCCTGCTCCTGTTTATGACAATTTGGCCCGACCCGCATCCACTGTTGCTGCGTCTCCTTCGTATCCTTCTGCCCCGGTTTACGATACTGGCGCTCGGCCTCCTTCTGCCATTAGCGCTCCTCGAAGACAGCAATCTTTCGGTTAGTTTTCAGGACTGATAGATGACCCCCGGTGCTTTGTTGTCGACGCTTTACAAGGAACAGTGGCACCTCCTCCGTGCACTCATTGAACAGTGCAAGCGAAAATTATGATACGTCCCATCTCCGACGACCAGGGACATGGATACACATTCTCTCAATTTCCTTTTTTCTCTAAAAAAGAACTCCTTTCTTTCTTTTTTGCTGGGCACTGGAGTGTCCCTCATCGGAAAGCCCTTGATTGCAAAGATGATGCCGACGAGTTCACGACACGACTTCCGATTTTTTGTTGATCTAGCATGCTCTGTCACGGATATACAACGACTAATGAGTCACGGTCTGCATGGAGGCTTAATTCCTGGAAAGAGTCACTGCAGCAAGGTTTTTCCTTCGATGATTTACTCCGAAATGCGATACGATCGCATACTATGGGACAGTACTGCCTGTAATGATCCCAGGCGGGAATGATGAGTTTGGACTGGACCCTTGTTTACTGAGCTGTCTTGGCTAGCCCAAATGCTGGAAAGTCAAGACGCCGAAGGGACCTATGGGAAAGGCTCTGAATTATGAATTACGATCTTACATTTCTCATTTCTTCACTTCTTTTCATATGTGCTCGCGTTTCACTGTGGTCCAGAAAACGCGGGCACAGACGATGTGTGTTTTTCTTTTTAGGAAGTGTTGCTTTATTAGGTAACGAATTATGAGGGAACAATAAAAGCTGTTTTTTTTTTCTCAAGAATAGATACAATTAGAGAGTTGGATCATATGCGCCAAGATTCCTGTGCAAATGTGTCATGGCGATGAGTGTTACAAAGTATATGAGATCAAGTGCACGAAAGCACTTACATGGTCATAGGGGCGCCTAAGTAACAAGTCAGTCTGTAATAACTTTGTGAGATGCAACGAATATTGGTATGTGATAACGCAGTTAAGCAATCGTAAATGAAATGAATGCCATGGCGTCTTGCCTGTAACCACTTACGTTGCTACGTACCTTAGAAACCATTTACAAGATTAGTAGTTGAATGATGATTAAGGTATGATTACCACGTGAGAGACCCACTGTTTGCTGTTGTCGGGTCAACTACCCAAAGTCAACATATTGGATGTTAGCGTGCGACCGTTGAACTTGACTTTCTAAACAAGCAACACTGCTCAAAAGTGGCTTGAACCAGACTATCAAGTCAACGATATCCTCTACCGACTGGAACTGTGACTACACACATTGACTGTTTGATTATTTCATTTGCTTGATTCAGCGTGCATCACAATGGAAACACCACTGTCGCCCGCCCAAGGTTCAAATCTCAATATCCAGACACCAGCTACTGCTCAGCGGTACGACTCCTATGAGGTACGAACAGTCTCCGCATCCTCCGAATCACAGAGCCAATCCTCTCATGGATCATCTCCTTTCGTGTCTGCCCTCAGCGATACTGCACTTTCCGATCAGGAGAACCATTCTCCCTCAAAATCACGGCACTCCCGAGTCCTCTCTGGCGCGACTCTTTCACCGTTGAAGATCCTCACCGACCAGCGAGAGGTGAGGGACGGAAGACCAACAGATAGACTGGGCCCCAACGCTCGTAGCCCTAGAAAGGTGTCTCCTGAGAAACGTTTTCCTGTTAAGATCAGCAACCCTCTCGACACAACCCGCGCTGCCTCCCAAGAGAGCACGATGAGTCTAGAGGATGCAGTGCGGCAAAATGAAGGCCTAAAGCGCGCAATCGAGATCTTTGAAGATGAGCAGAGCGTCCTGGAAGACGGCCTGGGCGACATGGACGTCACTACTGGCACCATTAACGTTAACCCTTCTGGGGAAATGGAGGTCGACGATTCCGTGTACCCTGACGATACAGCGATCAGTACCTTCAGTACCTTCTCGGCTGTGCCCAATTTAACCATGTTTGCCAAACTCGGCCAAAGCCCCACAAAGCTGTCCGATATGGGTGGTCTCACGCCTCGGGCAAACACACGAGCTGATCCCTCCCCATCACGAACGTCGCGAGCCAGACCGAGACACGACTCGGGAAACACAACGAATCTTCTGGACTTCACAGAGCAGCTGCGTTTTCCTCAGAGATCACCCCAAAAGTCACCGGCCAAGGGCGGGCTTTCGCCATCTCGCACAGCACCTGATGTAACTGCGACGCCTTCTCGTGGCGGTTTTGCCAACCTCATCGACTTTGATATCCCCCCCATGCCTACACCTCGAAGCGTTCCCAGCATCACCGCAAGAGAACTCGAGTCTCTCAAATCAAACTTTCTGTCAGAGATCAGCTCACTCAAAGCTTCATTGAGTGGTAAGGAAGCCGAAGTGCAATCGCTGAAGGCCGCAGTTGGCGATGCAGAGAAGCGAGTGGGTGAGTCCCAGGAGCAGCTCCGCGAGGAACGCTCTATCAAAGAGCAACTTACTGCTGAGAAAGAGGGTTGGGAGAACCGCGGCCGTGAGATGGAACATGTCTTGCGGAAGGCCAAAGAAGAAATTGTGGAGAGCCAAAGAGAACAGGAAGAGCTCGAACAAAAGTTGGAAGAGAGTGAGAAGCGACGTGAAGCAGCCGAGATGTTGCACCAAGAGGCGGAGAGTAAGATGGCGGGTATGCGTGCCGGGAAAGACACTGACAAGTCGTCGCCCGAAAAACCCAAGAGCCCAAACGACACCAATCATGAAGTCGAGATTGCAGTCGAGCGGGTGGCTCGTGAGCTTCATGCTCTTTATAAGAGCAAGCACGAATCCAAGGTTACTGCCCTGAAGAAGTCATACGAGACTCGGTGGGAGAAGCGTGTCCATGAGCTTGAAAACAAGATCAGAGAACTTGTCGAGGAGAACGAACGTCTGCGCGTCTGCCGAGATACAACAATGAGCAGAGTCGAGCCTGACAACATTGAGGCCGATGAGCTCAAGGCCCAAGCAGTCCGAGACAGCGCAGCAATCAAGGAGTTGAATGCCGATATTCAACGACTTGAGGCAGTTGTCCATACAGTACAGCTCGACAACGAGTCACTGCGCAGTATGCTGGAGAAGGAGCGCGTAGAGAAGGGAGAGCTTGTGCAACTTGCCGAGGAGATGATGAGCATGCAGAGCTTTGTTGCGCAGACGCCAAAGCCTCGGACTCAGCCACAGCAACAAGTTCAACAGCCTCCATCTGTATCTCGTTACCCTCATGAGAGACAACATGACCGAGAGCCTGAGGCTAAGACGCCAAAACGAAGTGCAGATCACTTTAGAAGCAGTGTCAGTCGTGCGTCAGGACTACGCGCGCCAGGTTCAGGACTCCGAGCACCTCACGAGCGAACAAAGAGCGCAGGTGGCTTGCCTCGCCCAGGCGGCATGGCCCGTAGCGGCATCCTGAACTCCATTGAGAAGATGGGCAATTACCGAGGACGTGGAGCAGAGTAATATTGGATGGGGAGAAACACAATGAGCCTCAAAGGGGAGGATGATCGCGAAAACTAATGACACATAAAACTGTATGACTGGAGCCTGTTTTTCTGCATAGCATATGGTCGGGGGATGCTGCGAGCTTACTCTAGAGCCCTGACATGACATTGTTTATTGACGTTTCTACGACTGATGGCCATGGGAGCCCGGCGTTGCATTTTACAATGGATGTTAGTTGTAGATTGGAGTTTCTCGAACATAGTTGATTTTCTTTTTCTTTTCCTTCATGAGATTTGGAGCTTCTATCAAAAGGCCGGATATAAAGTCGTCTCTGAGGTTAACCATGAGATGCGTTCATATCACAGGTTACGATTATTTCTCTTATGAGAATTTCTGTTTATTTACACTCATGTATCTCATTAAGGGCGCTTGCCTTAGGCTTTTATGTATATAGTATTTGCTCTAATAACGCCGTTCCTCGGTTCAGAGATTATAAGCCTTCTTGGCCGTACCGCCAAAGATCATTGCGCGCTCTTCATCACTCAGCGTAGCCATCCAACACATGCGTTCAACGATGCTGCGCCATCTAGGCCAGGCATTGTCGGTGTTGACAGTGCAGACAGGCCAGTCGCTCCCAAACATGATCCGACTGGGGCCAAAGGTGGCGAGGACAATACCGAGCCAACCGAGAGTAGCCTCGAAGATGTGGTTGGGGTCCTGGTTTCGTAGGGAATCAGGCATCTCGGAGAAGCCACCGGAGAGCTTCATATAGACGCGAGAGTCTTTGCTAAGGGTGTAGACGGCAGTGCGCCAGGCGTGGAAGCTGGGGTCCGATGTAAGGTTATAGATGCTGAAGTCGGGTTTGCAGAGGTGGTCTAAGGATACACTATTAGAATGAAGTTTGGGGGGGAGAAGGGCTGTACGAACTTAGCACCAATGTGACCTTCTCCTCCTCGGGAACACCATCGTGAACGCGGTCAACAAACTCGATCACCTCATCGAGCTGCTTCTTTCCACGTCGATGCTGGTCAATGCCAACATCGAAGGTGAATCCTCGTCGACCAAGAAGCTTGACGCCCTCGATGAATTTATCGTCCAGCATAGTGCCATGAGGCTTGTCCTGTAGTAAGTAGCGGAACCCTTTGATCTTAGGCCAAGCATCGCCGGCCACCTCCTTCACTCGATCAAGATAGCGCTCTAGAACCTCGGGGCCGCTTGGTAACGGCGCCCAGGGTACAATACCAAGGCACAACTTTGCATCCTCGGGGCTGTGACCCTCTCCTTCGCGCGGCTGGCCAAGCGCAACACGTTTGAGCCATGAGACCTCAGCCAAAGGCTGCTCCCAGCCGGAGCCATCGACTGCGCCAGACTCAACATCGTTCTTGCGGTCTGTTTCGACAAAGACGAAGCCTAGGAGAGACGGTGCCGAAGAAGTAGCTTCGCGGTATTCTTCCAAGGAATGTTGGCCGGCAAGAGGGCCATCGGGTGTGTACCAGGTAAGGGAGTCGGTCTCGGCCGCTGGGTAGAGGTGAATGTGGGAGTCGATGATGGGGAGTATGATTTGCTCGTCGGACATATTTGCAGTTGGGTGATGCTATACTTGAGATCGTGTAGTGAAGCTCG